TTCTATTCTATTCTATTCTATTCTATTCTATTCTATTCTATTCTATTGCATTCCACTCCACTCCACTCCACCCCACTCTGACTTGGCATGAAAGTATCGCAAGGACTGCTTTTTCCACTCATTTGTAACTCAACACTTGTGAAACTCATTTTTGTGACATGAGGTGCAGTCTTTCTGGGGCAAGATCTGTCTCATGGGTTACCTTTCTTCCCGATATTCACTCAGCTCCCACTTTATTAGGCTTTAGGAAAGAATTAAAAGTTGTTTAGGAGAGCTTTTGAAGTATGAGTATTGGGATTCCTAGGCCCATTTTTATAATTTTTAAATTCAACTGTGTTTTATCATACTGTTGTTTTAAATGTTATTTTGATTGCTTGTTCTTTTAATTCTTATTGTCTGTAATGTGGACATCGTAGGGTCATTTGATTTAACCACAACTGTGGATAGAAATTGAAGAAATAAAAATAAGGTCACTCTTGAAGTAGATAAGTGATAGTATTGATTATGCCGAAAATAAATGTGAAAGCGGGAAAGCCTTAATTCACATACAGGACAGCAGCAGCTCTTCCCGTTGAACTATCAGGCGGAAGAGTTCCCGGTCAAGCTTCACTCTGATATTTCTTGGAGAGTTCAAACCTCCCTCCCGCCCCCCCGCACTTTTTTTGTGGATTCGCTTTCTGGCAAAGGATTATCAGACCTCTCCGTCCATTCAGCACCCGAGGACTCCACTATCTAGCGACGCGCCAATCGGTGAGTCTATCGGGGTAGGAATGTGGAGAGGGAAATTCTTTCGGATTCGAGCCAGGGCTGCTGCCTCGGCGCTTCCAAGGGTCCAGCTTGCCGGCAGCCTCCCGCCTGAGCGCGTCTTCTTGGCCCTGCCTTTTCCCCGTCTACCGGCAGAGGTCGACCCTGCTTCTCCGGGACCGCGCTGGCTCCGAAACGGAGCGGCGGGAGCTCTTGACATCACATCCAAGCTCCTCCTGCGCACGACCCCTTCCAGCTCTTCAACTCCCCCCTTTCTCTCCCCAAACAAAACATTTCCGCTGGCGAGAGTCGGCCGTAAACCTAGCCGGGCAGGGCTGGGGAGGAATGGGAGAGGTCAAGAGCAGAAGCCGACTCCACGCCGCCGGAGCAGCGCGCGAAGCCCGTCTCCTCGGGGCTTTTCTTTCGGCTGGCAGGAGGAGGCAGAAGCCGCTTCGGCCGCTCTCTTCCAGAAGCCCCGCCGGGACCGAAAAGGCGCCCTTTTGGCCAGGCGCGCCAGCCGAAGCCTCCCGTCTCCCCTGAGCTGCCGACGGCTGCAGAGGCTTGAGGCGAGGCGAGGCGAGGCGAGGCGGGCCAAGGCTGAGGTGGGGGGGGGGGGCGCTCCGTTTGCATTCGCGCCGCAGGGGCGAAATGCCAGCCTTCGGGTTGCAAAGGTGAGAGCCGCTCGCCCACCTTGGCTCGGCTTCGCGCGGAGCGGCGGGTCCCCACGCGCCTCCCCTCGCGCGCGCTCGCTCGCCCCCATGCAGACGCGCGCACGGGGGGGCGAGCAGGAGCCGCCGAAGATGGCAATGTCTGTGATACAAGCGTGCCGCAGCCTGGCTCTTTCAACATGGCTGCTTTCCTTTTGTTTCGTGCATCTGCTCTGCCTGGATTTCACCGTGGCCGAAAAAGAAGAATGGTACACGGCCTTCGTGAACATCACTTATCCAGATCCCGGCGTCGGCGCCGGCGCCGGCAGTGAGCTGCGTAGCGAAAAAACGGAGTGTGGCCGCTACGGGGAACATTCGCCCAAAAACGAGGTCTGGGGGCAGGTGGTGATGACCTCGGCGACCGCTGACAGGCAAGCTTGCGACCCCAACGCTAGGTTCGCCGTGCCGGGCCCCGGCAAGCTCTGGATCGCCCTTGTCCCTATAGGGAATTGTAGTTGCAAGGAGAAGATTCGGCACGCCGCCTCCCAAAACGCCTCAGCCGTGGTCATCTACAACTTCGGCTCCAGCAACACCAACGAGACGTTTACGATGCCCCCCTCAGGTGAGTGGGAGGCACAACCTTCCCCCACTCCCCACCCCCCGGCCGTTCGTCTGCACGTCTCTGTTGGAGGATTTCACTTCTGGACTCGGTTAGGCTGCCAAATAGCCAAAGAGGTTATTAATAGCCCAGGCTTAGCTCGGGGTAACATCCCGAGGTCTGTCTATGCGCCTGTCTTATTACCAGGCAAGATCTAGTGACCCTCTTCGTTGTTATCTTGAACAGTGGAGCAGTGAAAGTGGGACACCTTGACCAGGGAAGGTTGAGTGACAGCAGATGCAAGGAGGCTTTTCAATGGACAAAAACCACCAAGGGAGGGCAAGGTCAGGTGGGGCAAGGGAAGAGGTCAGTGGTCGCACAGTAGGCTAGTGTGTCGCACAAGATGCTAACACTTAGCTAACCAAAGCTTGGTTAACTGACTTTGCACAATGCAATGAACCATCATGTTCATTCATAAATATTGGTGGGATAGCACAGCATACTGAATCACAAGGTAGCCATACACATTTTAGCTGAATGTGTTGGACAAACCTTGTAAATGTCCTTGGTTTATGGCTCCCTAGCTTGTATAAAACCAGATAATATATTTTAACCAATCACTGCTTATTAAACATCCCTAGGATGTGAACACAGCCTTGAAAAATTGTTGAAGAGACATCAGAAGCTTATCAGGAGTAGTTTGAACAGGAAGTAGAAGATTGCTGCAAGTAGGAGCTTTGATGGAATATAGTGCACTTTATAATGGAGTAGAGGGAAAATACATCAAGGTTAAGATAGAGTACCTGTTGGAATAATGTTGGCAAAGCTGAAGAATCCTTCACTGTTTTATCCCATTGTTTTCAACCTTCCTTTCAAAAATTTAGTCAGTTGGTCTATAATCAGTAAGCTGATCACTAGGATTATTGTGCTAAATTCTTCTTTTTAGGTTGTTAAAGTATTTCCCAGCAACACAGAGTTGTAAATCTTAGTTGCAGAGACCAATAAGGAGTAGTTGTGTTGACTGATACTGTGCTTTTTGATGCAACATGGAAAGTTTGAAAGTTCTGGGCCACTTCCTGAGTTCATGGGTTTGTGGTTTCTATGCTGAGTAGCAATAGTGTAAGCAGTTTTAGTGGCTTCTTTGGCTTCTGTTACTGTAGTTGAGAAGCAGCTGTGCTATGCCAGGAATGCAATTAGATTAATTACTGCTGCAAGATTTTACTTGGGAATTGCAATCTTAATATAATACCTGTGATTCAAGGCCACAATAATTTATCTAATTTCATATTTTATATATATATATACAAACACACACACAGTATATATTTCCCATAAAATGTCTGCATATATAGTGTAAGCCTTTGTGTTATTTATCACAACACAACATTGAAGTTATGTGATAATGCTTCTGGACATAGTCTAGTTTGCCATACTGTTAGAAAATGTTACAAAATAGCTTCAAATTTAAAAGTTAGGTAAGTCTTAAAAGGTCCATGCTATGTATTTACTTTAATACTGTCCTTTGGACAAATTGGAGCTTACTCATATACCCAGATAACACCTGTGACTGCTTCTTCAGGGACTCTGTCCTAGTGAGCTAAGAACATTTTGCTTTTTTATAATTTCCAAAATAACTTTCTATTCACAGTTATATGCCATTTTAAGATATTTCTGTATCCTATTTTCTTGCCAAACCCATTTCATATTTGTTTGCAAAATAAGAGTAAATATGAAGTTTCTTCAACAATGAAATAAAAAGGTACTCAGTAAAGTAACCTTCCACAGTGTTGAAGTTATTCTTCAAATCGGAGAAATCTATTAGACAATATTACATTTTTTCTTTTAAAACAGAAAATTATACATATATAGATCTCATTGGATTTATTTCCATCTAAATGACTTCAAAGGTAGGTAATAAAGTTTCCTGCATTACAAGAATTACTGTACAGGCAACATGAAAGTATTTTGTTGATTCAGTCTCCTGTTTTCCTTAGAAATTCAAACTGCATGTTTTAGATAAGAAAATTGGGAAGCACTGTATTTTTTTTTAAACTAAACAAGTGGCTTTTATGCTTTCTAGGCATAACTGAAACTTTCTTTATAACAGCAATATATTTTTATATTATAATTTCAATAACTCTAATAGAACAAATAACAGAATGCTACATCATTCCTTTAAATTCATCTCTACCATTTACACTTTGATTGCTTTAAGAAGAAATGTGACAAATTTTTAGACACTAAAACCTGGTTTAGTTCATTGATTTTGGATTGTAAATAAAATATTTTGACAGATACTTAAATAGGAAACCATGTGTGCTGGGAATATGTAACAAAAAATACAGGTTTAAAAGTTAAAATGATATGTTTTTTCCATATAATTTCATATAACTTGTGTTGCAAGAAATATTTCACCATTTCTCTTAATAGCGAGCTGCCACAAACTGCCATTCAGTATTCACAGCTTTTTTGGTTGCTTATTTTTAAGTACTGAAGTTAATCTGTCATAATTTTATGGACATATGCAAATATATTTAGGAGTAGTTCTCTGCTTTAAAAAAAGGATAATTAATTCAGTGACCTTCACTATAATCCTGTAGTACAGATGATATTACATTCGTATTGTGTATTTTAGAACAGACAAGTCAGCATTACTTAGAACAGGGGTCTCCAACCTTGGCAACTTTAAGACTTGTGGACTTCAACTCCCAGAATTCCTCAGCCAGCAAAGCTGACTTAGAATCCAAAAGAGCACAAGTAGAATTCGGCAAGTATAAATCCTATACTCCGTAAGTCCTCCTGTCTGTTTCTGAAAGGCTTTCACATGATTTAGTCCAGTCTAAAGAGCTGCAGTAGTTGGAAAGGATTTTGAAGTTGTAAACATCCTAAGAGCAGGAATTATCACAAGTATCCCAGAATTACTCTGGAACTGTATAAAACATGATCATCTTCACAGACTTGTGAATTTATTCATGGCTTGAAGAAGACTTTATGTTATTGGCGGGATCAGTCACCAATATAACAATTGCACAAGCTGAGAAAACTACATTAATCTACTTAAATTCAAATGCATTATAGCAGTGTTGTTCCTTTGAGGAAAAGTCCTATTAGTTACATGATACTGTCTATCCTGGACAATTAAAGATGTTACAACAGAATATCAGTGGGCTTGTTATGTGCAAGATGCTTAACCTGCATGGATGTGATGGAGAAAACTAGATAAGTATCAGGCTTGAGATATTTAAACTTATCTCACTTTGCTGCAGCCCTAGTGAAATTTGCTGCCTTAAATGCTGTTGCCTATAAGAGGAAAGCTGCCATTGATAATCAAAGTGCATTCCTAGAGAAATTAGTTTGAGATCGCGGGAGGGAGGGAGGGAGGCAGAGAGAAAGAGAGAGAGAGAGAGAGACCTTCTAGGCAAAGGCTCCGTTGCCCTTGCTTGCTGAGCTATGCTATAGATCAGGGGTCTCCAACCTTGGGCCCTTGAAGCCTGGCGGACTTCGACTTCAAGGGCCCAAGGTTGGAGACCCCTGCTATAGATTATTAGTGATGTCTGATTTGCTAGCCACAGCTTATGGTTAACTTTCCTGTATGAGTCAGGCAATTATGGTTTATACAACAAGTATGGTTAATACAAAAGCTAAATATACTGATAAAGCCACATTCTGAAGTTCCTTGTCACTTTCATCTTGATTGTAAACTTTCTTTTAGTCTTGAAGCAAAGCTGATTGTCATTGTGCCTATTTTACTGCACCCATATCCTAATTCCTTCCTTTTTTAAAAAAATAGAGCTTATATCAGTGTCACTTGAATTGCTTTCAAAAAACACAGACAGCATTTTGTGCCATTCCTAGTATTGTCTGCTTTTGGCATTTCGTTGATTATACCAATTCTTATAGCTACTAGCGCTGACATAATATATTGCAGACTTATTCTCATATGGAAAGCATTACAGTGGAATGTTCTTCCACATTTTTCCCATATCTGCCAATGACTCCCCAGATAAAAACAATAATGCTGTCTCTGAAAATGTCTAGTTGTGTTGTGTGGCATATTTGTGTATGGGAAAAGAAATATATTCACAGAGTTGAATACTTTGGTCAGTTAACTTTGAATAGCAGAGCAGGCAAATGCATAATGCCAAATAAAAAAAAAATCTTAAGCCTTTCGCATGGATAATGCTATATTTGTGTATCTTTTTACAGATCACTTCTTATATAGCCCTGAAGTTGATAGCTGTTAAAACTTGTGAGTTACCTAGCTTCATCATCCTACAGGATTCCACATCATCTTGATATGGAAGGATTTGTTAGCTTCAGTGAACCTGGGAGTCATGCTGCCAGAAGCTTCCAGTAGTGCTATTTTTCCTGGCAAGGGAGAGGTATAGCTAAAATAATCCACAGTAAAGGTGCAAAATGTGTTTTTTTTTTTTTTTGGAAAATCAGAGAAATCACAGGATAATTTACAGCTATGATAAGAGTATTTGAATAATCATGGAAGAAATCCACAGTAAGAAAAGCAAATGGAATTGAAAAAAGAAGGAAATTCTTTACAAATGAGGTGAAAAGAATAACATTGGCAGAGAAAGAGCATATTTAGAAACTGACTGCACTTAAAAGTGAAATAGTGTAAATAACAGACCAACTGTCAAATACCTGGTGCAACTGAAATGCCCATAGAACTGATTAAACCTGCAGGAGAAATGCAGTTCTGAGTCAGCAGTAAGGTGTAAGACTGTATGGTCCAGACATTGGAAATGATTAGGGAGTAGGGTTAAATGAAAAAAGGCTGACACCAGAGATTGTAATTGACTAAACTATTCTAATGTCTCATGCAAGCAAGCTTTTGATTCAGATAAATTTGAGCCATTCATGGGAAGAAACCAGTGGTGGTATTCGACCGGTTCTGCCTGGTTCTGGAGAGCCGGTAGCGGCGATGAGCAGTGGAGACTGAACCGGTTCTCTTCGCTTCTCTGTGTTTGGCCCACCTGCCCGCCCGGGCTCCCATACTCACTTTTATGGCC